AGGGGGTGCGAGAGATAGAGAGCTAGGAGTGTGTGTGTGTGTGTGTGTGTGTGTGTGTGTGTGTGTGTGTGTGAGACAGAGAGAGAGAGAGAGAGAGAGAGAGTAGCACCTGGGTATATGGGGAGCGTTTAATGGGTCTGAATTTGGAAGCTTTCCCATATGTCGACACTTTACTATGGACATAATTACGATTTATGCAGATAAGTTATTCAGAGTTGAAGCCCGGAAAAGCGGCGCACGGGCATCCAATCTTCCTAACTCAAATATTCACGTATTGATTTATCTCTTTCTCATGATGCCTATACAGTACCGCCAATCTGCCTGTTTAAGGGCTCAAGCTACTGAGGACTCGACCTAATGTTAGTCCGGGCAAAAACAAGCTCGTTGAAACCAGTGGACTTTCTGCCTCTGGTGGCTGACGTGTCCCATTCGTTTCAACAGGTTTACGTCCGTTGGGACACATCTTGGGTTTAACCCCCAAAGCACCACAGTTCAGATACCCAAGAAATTAATTTGAACGTCTCTGAATGGGCTTCTAAAGAGCCCTCATGTTTTCTATGCCCGCTAACCGTGATTAATTCATTTCTCTGCACTGTTCAGTATTTAATTCTCGCAAGGGGCGTAACGCAGCGCCCGCTTCCTCTCCTTCGTCCCTTATTCCCTGCTGAAAGTAAGATTATCGGTCGCTTTTGTTTGAGGCCAAGTCGTGGCACCGCGGAAGGGGTTGTTCCGCATTAATCTCAAGGCAAGGTTAGGAGCCATTAATCACCAAAGGCTCCCCTTTATCGATTTAACATTGCATGTTTCAATAGACGCTTCGGAAAGAGGAAAGGTCGTGGAACTCACGCGGGGCTTCCTCGGGAGTAAATAGGCATAGGCTCTCGCTATTAGGCTGCATCCCCTAGACACTCTTACTTGGGAGCAAGTCCCACCGGGTTCAACAAGAGTTCCGAGATATTACATGCCTGGGATTGAGCTTTCAAACGCCCAGTTCACATCGGTGGGGACGTTTGGGTGTAGAAAAGACAGGGAGCGACCCCCCCCCCTTCCCCGCCTCCACCACCTGAGTTTTAACCACGAGCAGCCTCCAGAGGCTGAACGGAGGAACAGGCGGGAGTGAGGGGAGGGGAATGATTAACTCTTTCCTCTCGACTTCGTTCTCACCTATTTTACACCACAACTTCTCCAAAACTTGTTTACTTCAGGTTCGGAGCAGCGATCGCCTGCTTTTCAATATGGGTATTAAAATTAAATTCAGAATGCGATCTTGACCGATTATTTTCACCAAATGGAAATCAACTTCTCAGTTCCATTGTCTGGAACTGCATCTTACACACACACACACACACACACACACACACACACACAGAGAGAGAGAGAGAGAGAGAGAGAGAGAAGAAAATAATTGTTCCTTTTTATTTATTTATGTTTTTTTATTTATCCCGTTACTGTCTATCCAAAGAAAAAAGCGCTGAAGGCATTAAACAATGCAATCTTCAAGATCACAACTACAACTAAATAAAATGCAATACAATCATCAATCCTTGGGAGATTTCAAATGGCCAGATTCGAGAGATGGATCTTGTTCACGTCCTCCCTAAAATCTCCGAGAATGGGGACGGAGCTCAAGGGGAGAGGTGCATTCCCACAACATGGGATCAACTCTCAGCTGCCAATCAAACTGATAACGACACAATTCAGCAGTATTTAACCTCACCCAATTTCAGAAGGGCAGACGAATAATTTCCATAGTTCCTTAAAATAAAACTGAGGTGTACATTAAAATCCATTAATATAATTTCCAGTGCTCCATAAGTGTGCAGGAGCCATTTAAAATAAAACAAACTTAAGATGCAGCGAAATTTAGAAAATGGCAAATAATAATGAAATATTTATAGGGTAAAATCTGAGCGCCGTAGCAGGAAGGGAGCTTTTACCTGCCTCATATGACATAAATAATAATTTACAGAAGCAGTGTTGGGGCAATTTTGAGGTGTATTTATGTCACAGATCTATTTATTTTACACTGATTTGTTTCTATGTAAACTTTCCCGGATTTCAGTTCCCTTCTTCGGAAGCAAGGAAGTGGATTGTCTGAGTTAAGCGCGTTGTACTCCCCCGAACCTCACAGTTAAATACTGTACTGTATATCTGGTAATCTTTAAGGTGCCAAATACTCTTCCGTTTTTACTTTTGTGATGCTTGCTGAAACAGCAGCCTCTTTGAAAACAATTCATCTGAGACAAGTGGGTGTTTATTGGTGGACCTGATTTTCGGGTTTCCCTTCTGCATAAGGTAGAACTCGGTTTTAAAAGTACGATAAGGGCCCTCTTTTTCTCCCAAACCTTTGTGGCTAGGATGTAGAGTCGCCCCCAGAGGGGTTTGAGGGCCAGGGACCGATCTGAGATTAGGAACCTACTTCCACCCTCCTTACAATGGAAGGAACCTGCTGTGTGGAGCTGTTGCCTCGCGCAGGGACCGCGGAGGGTAGCCTCCGGCGCGCGGGAGAGGGCTTATATTGCGGGGGGGGGGGAGCAGCGCTCCTGATTTCAGTAGCCCCTCCCTGGGGAGTTTCTTGACAGGATCGGAAGTTTAATAGGTTTATTCATTCATTCTCCATTAACATTCATTCTCCATTAACTTCCACTTCAAGAGAATAAACAGGACACTGCGTTTAGGATCGATCCGTAATGAAATAACATCCTAACACACTTAATGAAGGTCTTTGTGTAATACATATTTACATCAAAGCCTTCTGGCGTAGAAATATATATATCGTGTTCATCAACTTCGTTGTTAAGGGCTGGCTCTTCTCTCAGGAGGCACAGTGTATTAATATATATACGAGAAACAGAATATCTTTCTACATCAGATTAGTATCAAAATTCAGTTATATGAATTAAGCCATTTTATCTTTTTATAATACCCACTTCCATCCTGCTCATCAACTCCGTTGTTAGGAGTTGACAAACACGAATCCGGTTCATTGATCGCCCCAGGAGGAAACTGTTCAGGGAAAATTCAAATCACAGTGTCTTTCGGGTGCCACAGAAGTCTTGGTGGTTTGGGGCTTTCTCGTCTTGGGGTCGGTTAACCTGCTGTTCTAATAACCTCCATTGCCAGGAATTAAAATAAGCCTTGTCGGTTTCACAAAGGGGGAGGGGACAGAAGCAGTGATGCGGCTCCTGGTTTTAATTCAGATGAACTCCTTCAGCATTTACGACGCAGGACGGGAAATTTGGAGTTACACAGAACTCTTGATCAAGTTGCAAGTGTCAAGCAGAGATGGAACAGGAACTTATCTCCGCCCCCATATCTGCCACGGAATCTGACTATTTTAACTGGAAGGTGCTGCCCAGTTGCGTTGGCTGCTTTGTTCCCGTCAGATTCCCCCGAGGAAGCCGCCAGAAGACTTTTAGGAATCACACCCGAATATTCTTCAAGGGCACTTGGCCTTTGGCGGCTCCCTTGCTCTTCTGTAGCCACTGTAGCCTTATTGCTAATTCCCTACTAGAGTAGATCCATCGATTTAATGGGATTTACATAAGTGTGGGTTTATGATTCAGGAATTGATTCAACGGGCCCGCTCTTTTAAGGAATACCTATAGGACGCTGGGACTGAGCGGCTTGTCCTCGACTTCACAAGTGAACTGGGCCGTTTTCTCCAACGCATGCCAAAGGCATCAATATTTTGCTCAAAGAAGACCCCCTTAAATTAAGAGGGTTAGTTTAATTTTTAAAAAAACCCCTTTGAGTTAAGCACTGGAAAGTGGCGTAATTCAGAATCAATCTGGCTGGAGGAATCGGAGCATTTCACCGCCTGGCTTGAAGCAACTGGCGGCCTTTGATTGACGGTGCAAATCCTATAGTACTAGTCTATCCCTATGTAAGCGCCAGTAAAGTATAGTAATCGGGAATTTATTCCCGGGCAAATGTATGCACAGGGGCTTACCAAAACGCAAGTGTGGATTCAAATTCTAACGGCTCCTCAAATTATTCTTCACGTTTTTCTTTTCTTTTTTAAATCTCCAGCCGCCTTTGCTCTGTGGCGCCACCAGAGACATACGTACATTAATGCCGCCTTTCTCCCAGAACGGACCCAAGGCGGCTTCCAATATACCGAGAAGCAAAAAAGAAAGAAAAGGAAAAAAAACAGTGTCACCAGTGTGTTGCGGGAGTGGGACTTTATCTGCGTATCAGGTTTCTGACACAGCTTGGACAAGTTCCTTTTTGAACTACACGTTCCTTTTGTGGAGGGGGGGAGAGGAAGCTCCCAGAATGCCTTAACCGGGGTGACCAGGGGCCAGGCCGGTTGGGGCCTTCTGTCCAGTTCTCCCCATCCTTGGAGAGAGAAACCACAACCTCCCTGTATGGGGCGGGCGGAGGGCAAGTCGGCTGAGAGAAGCGCTCGACGCCTTGCCGCCAGCCATCCCCGATGTCACCCGTTCCTCCGCTCTATAGTGAAACCCAGCCACCGGAGGGGAGGGGAGGGGGAGGGAGGCGTCCTGGAAGGGGCGATGGGGATGGGCCGTCCAGGTCCCCGCGGCTGGC